GTGTAACTCCCTTCCTGAATACCACTCCTCACTCCCTGCTCAGGGAACAGACTGTGACTGACAGTCCTGGTGTTGCTAAACACCCCACCCCCACCCTGGATCAAGCTCACTGAGTCTCAGTGACCCCACATTCCAGGCCCAGAGCCACCAGGGTGCGTCTGAGCTGGAGGAGGGGCAGATTCTGAAGGAATTTGGCAGATCACAGAAAAAATCTCCCTCAAAAAAAAAAAAAAGTTATAAAATCACCCCCACAGGACAGTAAGTCTGGGAATAGCAGGGCCAGAGGCACTGTGGGCTTTCGGTACTGACTGGGTCTGTCTTTTGGCTTCTTCCTGCCTGCCGCTGCACCATACACATGCACACACACATGCATGAACAGGTGCATGCACATACTTGTATGTGGACGTACGTACACTTGGCTCTATATTTTATACAGATACGACCCGCATGTGGCCAAACCTACCTGAATCCCTGAATTCTTTGGTTACTTCTGGGGACAGAGAGCATCTCTGAACAAATGGCCTAGACTGGGTCCAGACAGCCATTGAAATGGATCCTGAGGGACTGTTTCTGCCATATATTGGAAGTCCAGGGAGCCTGAGGAGATGGGGCCTCATCCCTCCTACCTGCTGTGTACAGCCCTGGACCTGAGCATCCATTAGTCCTACATATCTCCTGTGGGAGAAGAGAGACCAGGGACCCTTTGGAAAGCCACAGAAATTCTCCTAGATCCAAGCTGAGAGCAGAAGAAGCCTGGACCATCTCTAGAAGGGGTACAGAAGGCAAATCCCCGTTCTAGGCATTTGTAGCTATGCAGCCAACCACAATGAAGAGGTCAAGGCCTGGCCAGGGGGGCTGCCACCTCAGTCATAAGTCCTGCTTCAAATGCAGTGCTCACTGAGTATTGGCATTTGTTGACCCCCTGATCTCCAACACCTTTTAGGGAAGTCAGCATGGCTGTCCTGAGACTGTCTTCTTATTGGGTTGTAAGCTACTGTCCTTTCCACCCTGGGTCTTACTAGTTTAGTCAGGACCCACCTATAGCTGGTTCTCCTAGACAAAGGCTTCTGAGCTGGCCATGACTCTCCTGCTGCTCCTCTGGTGATCATGGGGTGCACACTGGCTCCTGAGGCCCAAGGTATCTTTGAAAGGTATAAGTGTCCTAGGCAGTGTGACCTCCTTAGGTCTTTTCACATTCCACTCAAGTGGAATTAGTTTATGTCTGAAGAGGGGTTCCAGGGTGGTGCTCACCTATTCTTTGGAGGGAACAGAAGCCCCACTTACCTCTGCCTACTACTCCATTCCCTCATATTAGTGAGGTTTTAAGGAAGGATGCAGGTAGCTTGATTATGAGGTCAGACCATGGAGGCAGGCCAGGCGACTTACCTGGAGCATTAGTTATTTTTCTCATTGTTGTGACCAGATACTTGACGTGAACAACTTCAGGGAATAATGGTTCTGAAGCCATGAACCAAAATAAAACCACTTATGTGGCTCTCTTTGGTGGTAAGAGCATGTCACAATAGCTGTTCACATGGCTGTGACCAGAAAACAAAACATAGGTGGGAACCTGGAAACCAGGGCTGAGCACAACCTTCAAAGGTCTGCTCCTGGTGACCCACTAATACCAGTTAAGTCTGACCTCCCGAAGGTTCCACTGGTTCCTAAAATAGTGTAATCAGCTGGGGAACAAACATTCTAACATGAGCCTGTGGGGGACTTTCAGATTCATCCCTAACACCTGGGTCACTGGCTGTCTCTGCCTGTGCTGTTTTCCCGAATCACTTGCAAGTCACATACTTGGGTTTCTTTACTCTTCAGTGTGCATTTCTCTTGTGTAGTCCTAGCACTGTCTAATGCCTTACCACAAGGCTCTGATGAGAAGGTGGCTGCTCCTGAGCTGTCCTTCTTGTTTGGGGCCTCTAAGACTGGCTGCAGTTTCTGCTGTGGACAGTGTGGTGGCTATAGCATCTGACATGCCTGTGTGGGACCAACACCTATGAGCACCTGCTGTATATACTGCACGGGCCAAGCAGGGTCTGGCATCACTGTGGGTGTGGAAAATCCCAAACTTATATCCATGGTCAGGAAAGGACTAGCCAGGGTGAGCAGTCCTTACCTCAGGCAAAGCCCCGAGAGGCTTAGGGGGACCCTGGGACCAGCCATCTTTATGTCACTCCAACACCAGCTTCTGCTTGTTACCTGCAGGCAGAGCAGACTTCTAACCAACCCTGGAAGGATTCTTGGCATATTCCAATGAAAAGAGTGTCCTGGTTGAGACACCAACTCCCAATTCCTTAGAGATGATGTAGCTCCAAAGCAGACGGATGATTCCTTGTCAAAATAAAGCAAAGCTCTTGCAGAGCTCTCCAGTGAGCCCTCCATGCATGCCTTCCATGTGAAAGGCATGTAAATAAAGAGACAGGAGCCATCAGCTAGATCAACTGTATCTGCCCATGGAAAGTTAGTGGTGGTCCGTCCTCTTCCTCAGCGAAAACAGCTCGTCAGGCCTGACCAGGAGCCAAAAGTTTGGCCAAGCTGCTCTCTATACTGTGAAAGGCCAGAGATAAGAGCTGATCCTTGAGCCAGGCAGTGGTGGCACACGCCTTTAATCCCAGCACTCGGGAGGCAGAGGCAGGCGGATCTCTGTGAGTTCGAGGCCAGCCTGGTCTACAGAGCGAGTTCTAGGACAGGCTCCAAAGCTACACAGAGAAACCCTGTATCAAAAAACAAACAAACAAGCAAGCAAGCAAGCAAACAAACAAACAAAAAAGCTGATCCTTGAGAACTGACAGTCCGTAAGGAACTGCTCCAACTTCCATATGCAACATTAAGGGGTTTACTCCTATAGGGAGGCACCTTCTATAGGGAAGCACCTTCTCCAGGAGGCTATCATTGTGAAGGCCTAGCATTAGGAAGGGTCTTTGGAGGTAGGAACTTGGCTAGCAGAGGCTTCCTCCACCAACAGTTGCAATCATGAGACATGTTACAGACCCACTAGGGGCTAGCGGGTGAGTGCTTTGTAACACAAAGAGAAGACAGTATATATTAACACTGATAGAAGAAGAGCATTGAGTGTCATTGTTCTGTGACAGGAAGGGGCAACAGTGGATCTGTGACAGAGTAGGGGCAGTGGCTATAAGCACTCTGACAGGAAGTAGAGACAACCGGTGTGAGCACTCTGATGGGAGATGGAGCAGAGGATATGAACTCTCTGTACATGGGGAGGGGATGGGTTTGGAAACTCTGATTGAGCAGGGAGGGAGCAGTGAGTGTAAGCACTTTGTGGCTTTTATGGGGCCCTTCTTTTTTTTTTTTTTAAGATTTATTTATTATGTATACAGAAGAGGGTGCCAGATCTCATTACAGATGGTTGTGAGCCACCATGTGGGTGCTGGGAATTGAACTCAGGTCCTCTGGAAGAGCAGTCAGTGCTCTTAACCGCTGAGCCATCTCTCCAGCCCCTATGGGGCCCTTCTTAAATGGATTCTGCTGGGTCATTCTTGGTGTTGACAAAAAGTCTGCCCTTACCTTAGCAGCCCAACCCAGCGAAGTCCAGACTCCTGTAGAACATGCTTGCTAACAGTCCTCTTTTGAGACTTCTTTCCCACCACTTCTGGGCCATTCATAGCTGTCAGGGCAATGCCAGAGCATGCCCAATTGCAGGTATTTCCTGGGTGCTGTCAGCAGACTTTGGGTATCAGTTCCATCATACAGACTCCAAGCAGCAGGGAGGAACCTGAGTACTTTCGCTGAAGTCAGTGTCTGAGGTCCAGCAACCCAGTGACCACACTACTCAACTCAAACGTGACACAATGGCAGGAGGTCATTTGGGATTGGAAGCAGCCTGTGCTCCCAGTTGATCTCAGTTGCAATGTTACAGACCCACTAGGGGCTAGCGGGTGAGTGCTTTGTGACACAAAGAGAAGACAGTATATGTTAACACTGATAGAAGAGGAGCATTGAGTGTCATTGTTCTGTGACAGGAAGGGGCAACAGTGGATCTGTGACAGAGTAGGGGCAGTGGCTATAAGCACTCTGACAGGAAGTAGAGACAGCTGGTGTGAGCAGCCTTGAGGAGGGTCTTCACCGCAGTGTGGAGACTTGCCTTAGGGTTTCTATTGCTGTGATAAAACACCATGATCATAAACAGCTTGGGGAGAAAATAATTTACTTCAACTTACAACTCTCAGGTCATACTCCATCACTGAGGGAAGCCAGAGCTATTCAAACATGGCAGGAACCTGGAGGACAGAGCAGAGGCAGAGGCCGTGAAGGACTGTGGCTTACTGGCTTGCTCATCCTGCTTTTTTACAGCTCCCAGGACCACCAGCCAGGGTAACCACCTACAGTGAGCTGGGCCCTCCAATCATCAGTTGAGAAGATGCACCATAGGCCTCCCACAGGCCAGTCTGGTGGGGATATTTTCTCACTTGAAGTTTCCTCTTCTCAATAGACTCTGGCTTGTGTCTAGTTGTGTCTGTAGCTGGAACAAGACTTGTTTCTCCCTCTCATACTAGAAGCCACTCTAGGTCAGGGAATGCCTCAGCATTTCCAGTGTTGACCCATTGCTGGTACACAGGGGCCCAGTGGCATCCTGTGAATGTCACAGGCTCAGGTCCACTGTGCTGCCCCTTTAACATTGCTTCTCTTCCAGAATGTAGCCCATCCTTTTTAGTTTTTCCTTAGCAAACTTTTGTCATCCCAAACACAGTGGCTCCAGAGAAAGTGTTGTGACCTGGTGGATTCAGCCATACTTTCTCTTCCTTCACCTATACCTGCATATGGGATGGAGCCCAGTGAAGGATGGATGGGTGGGTGATGAATGAAGGGTGGACAGATGGAGCCACACAATACCTACTCAGGGTTATGGCCAAGAAGGAGTTTGTGGCCCAGCTGGTATAGATATTAAAATAGATGTGAGGGGTACTTAGGAGGGAAACAAAACTTGGAGGTGGCTCCTTAGGGTCCACTGCTCCTCATGGGCCACCTGTTCTTAGGTCACTGCTCTGGAACGGCAGGTGTTTGACTTCCTGGGCTACCAGTGGGCACCCATCCTGGCCAACTTCGTCCACATCATCGTGGTCATCTTGGGGCTCTTCGGCACCATTCAGTATCGGCCACGCTACATTGTGGTGGTGAGTCCACTGTGCTTGGCTGCCTCTATGCAAGGAGTAGAAGCCCTGCCACTCTTGGTGGCAGCTTGGGCAGAATGTCTTAGGTTGACATCTGTCCAGGGTGGGCTTAGGTAACCCTTTTCAAGCTCAGCATTGGGACGATCAGACTCAGGGAGTCCTGGGGCTTTGCCATGAGTTCAAGGGCTTTCTTCCAAGGCATTAGAGAAAATCAGATATCTCATCTCTGAAGCTGCAGGGTTCAACTTCTGCCCTGTTCTTTCTGGCCTCCCTAGTATGCTGTGTGGGCAGCTGTCTGGGTTACCTGGAATGTCTTCATTATCTGCTTCTACCTGGAAGTGGGGGGCCTTTCAAAGGTGAGTAAAGATGGGAAGGGGTTCATCCACTGGGTCTTGGCCAGATCACCATGTGATTCTTGATGCTGTTCATTGCATGTTTCCTAATGATGTTGGGAGCTTGATGCATAGTGCTGACCCCAGCACCAGGATTATTTGGGCTGTGATCAGTGCTTCAGTAAAGTCTGGGAAGACTGTTTTACAGGTGGTAAGTGTTGTTGGTAAGGCATTGTGAGTATCAGTGGGCCAGGGTCTCAGGCTGGGTAGCACACAGGGTGGGTCTCCTGGAAGAGGTCCTTGGGACCAGGCAGTACCAGGGAGGAGTAGGAACTAAGTAGATATCTGGCCCACGTATGTAGGTGTGTCCTTCTTAGGGATGGTGGGATTGGGGCACAAGCAGAAACCTTCCTCTTGTGGCCACATGGAGTCTTCTACCCTGGCCAACTGACATGTGTTTCCTGAGGAAGCTCTGGACTGGTACAGCTTTGTTCTCCTACTTAGAGTAGGAGACTCTAATATGTAGTGGTGTGGCGGACTGAGCTAGCCCTGGCTGGAGTTATGCCAGTTACTGACATGAGGCTCAAGACCCACTGTGGCAGCTTGGCCAGGGACATGAATGAGGGTTTTGAGGAACCTAGATACCATAATAGTGAGTCCTGAAGTCTGCCCAAGGCAAGGGACCTTCCTGGAGGAAGGGGTATGAGGGCTGAGGGCCAAGAAAACCGGGCTTTCCCATGGAGGAACAGTTTGGGGAAACTTGTTCCTGTCCCACACAACTGGAGCCTAAGAGAAAAGGGTAGAGGGAGACTGGCCACCTTCATCCTTCCCTACTCCAGGCTGTGGTTGGGAGAGGCTGGCTGCCTCCTGATACTAACTTGTCCTGTTGCTTTGTCCCCAGGACAGTGAGCTCTTGACCTTTAATCTCTCCCGGCATCGTTCCTGGTGGGAAGAGCATGGGCCAGGCTGTCTTCATGAAGAGGCAGCCACAGCTAGACTGGGGGTAATGCATGGCCAGTCCTTGGTGGTAGATGCCGGCTGTGCCATGGCGTACAGCTATGTGGAAACCCTGCACAGTGGTCTGCAGATCCTGCTGGCGGTGAGTGTGGGCACGGGTACCCAGGCTGGAGGCTTATTCTACCTGGGGCAGAGTCAGGGCCTTTCCTTTACACAAAGGCACCAGCTTTCCTTGTTAAGCAGGACTGCCTCCATATCCTGCAAGAAGCAGAAGAGTCACAGGTGGGTTTCCACCCTTAAGCCTGTCTTAGTCCCTGTTCTATTACTGTGAAGAGACACCATGACCAATGCAACTCTTGTGAAAGAAAGCATTTAATTAGGAATGTGCTTATAGTTTCAGAGGTTTAGTCCTTTATCATCATGGTGGGCAGCATGGCAGCAGACAGGAAGGCATGGTGCTGGAGAAATACCAGAAAGCTACATACTGATCTGTAGGCGGAGAGAGACTGAGCCTGGCATAGGCTTTTGGAACCCCAAAGCCCACACTCCCAGTGACATGCTTCCTCCAACAAGGTCAATCCTAATTCTTACAATCCTTTCAAATAGTGACTAAGCATTCAAATATATGAGCCTATGGGTGCCATTCTTATTCAAACCACCACAGAGCTTCATTGTTCTTCTTGTAAGACAGGCTCAGAACCACTTTCAAACCTCAGCCTCTGGTGATGCTGTGGAGTACCAGGCAACCAGGAACAGCAACAATGAAGGTTCAGGTTGGAGTGACCAAGATGAATGCTCCATGACTCCCTAGCACAGGGTAGTAGAGGCAAGGAAGGAATGTAAATACCCCAAGGCTGACCTCAGTGAGACAGTGAAAGGGAGTTAGAAGCCCCAGACCAGCCAGCCAATAATGCTGCAAGTGGGTCCCAATGATGGCATTGTTTAATCTCAACAGATCTGGTGTATTAAGCTAGCATTTCAGTGCTTCTCCCTGAGTCTCAGGACCCTTGGGGATATTTCACAAGTTCTCACCTCCCCAGAGAGAAAGTAGGATACGGTGCATACTTCCTGGCACACAGTGGGCTGACTGGGCTGGCTGTGAGCCCACAGCCCTGAGAAGTCTGCCACAGATCAGATCCTGTGAGATGAGGAAAGTTTGTGGCGATCTGGCTAATTTCCTAGCACTGTGAGATACCACTGATCTCCAGGAGTCCTGCTTTGTGAGCAGCAGAACAGTTCTGTGCCCAGATAGCTCCTATGTTGGTCATAGGGCCGACTGCTTCTGGGTAACTTTCTCACCACCCTACTAGGCATGTAGAACAGTTCCTTAGCAGTGAATCACTAGCAAGTGTCAGGTGCCACCAACCTGTCGATGGTTGTATCCCCTTGGACTCAGGTTGTCCATGAAGAGCCTAGAGGAGATACAAGTCTCATGAATTCAGAGATGCAGAGACTCCATTATTTTCCACATGTGTCCGGGAACTTAATCCAAGAGGAAAGATCAGAGAAGGCCTGATGGCACTCTACAGCTGATGGGGGAGGGTGGGAGGCAGAATTCAGGGTGCATATCTGTGGGTTACAGGGGATCTGGGGTTCTAAACCCCAAAAGCCTTTCCCCAAGGCCTTAGCCTGGGCATTCAGCTAGCCAGGGAGCTATGGAGAGTGCAGAAAAAGCAATGTGGGGAGAGGCCCATGGAGGTACCTGAGGGGCTGGTGCTGAGGCTAGGCTCCCTGCTGCTCTCTGTCTTACTACTATGGCAACACAGGTGGTCCAGGCTTCAGCCTCCCTGCAGGGCCCATGGTCTGGACTTGGCATGGTCTGCCAAGCACAGGAAGTTGTGGCATCTTTGGGGATGGGGGATATATGGCCTACATGTTTTCTCTAAGACTTCACAGTTGACACAAGGACTAAATCCAGGCTGGACTCTTCCTTAGCTATCAATATAAAGAAAGTATTGAGACAAACCCCCACTCAGGAACAGCAGGTGGCAAGGAGACTATGAGGTCCTCAGGCTGCCTATCAACAGCACCAGCTGCTGAAGACCAAGCTAAGGCACATGGGCCTTTCTGAAGAACACTTTATATCCAGAGTGGGCATCAGGGGCGTACAAACTCCCATCACAGTCTCCAGCTCTCTTTGCTTTGAAGGCCTTTCATACTCCAGTCAGGTGGTCCAGGTGAAGTGCCTCTTTCCAGAACACTCAGCTTCAGGGGCCTCTCTGGGTCCAGTATCAAGTCTGGGCTTCCTCACTGCCAGTCGCTAGACCTCTTACCATGTCCCAAGTTCTGTCATTCCAGGACAGAGCCTGGTACAGTAGAGCATCTTATTCTGGTGCACTCAGAGCCAGCTAGACGTGGATACTTTAGTTATGTGTCTGGATTTGGATTGGTGCAGGGACTAGAGTCTTGGAAAGACCAAGAAGATATTGACTCATAAACTCTGCCTGGATGGTCATGGAGAAAGATGATGTCACCAGGAACCTTTCCAAAGATCAGTCAGGGCCTTATCCAGCCACACCTCATCCTGCATAGAAAAGTAAGGGACAGGAGAAGCTACTACAGATGCCTTAAAGCCCATTGAACCTGGATCCCTGTACTAGGTTCCACCAGGCAGGATTGTCTGCTACCTCACCATGGATCAGGATAGGGCCCTACACATTTGGGCCCTCATAGAGGCCAAATTCTGGCTTTATATCTGTATAAAGTCTATAATAACAACTGACCAGACCAGAGAAAGCAGGCATAGTGGCACAAGCCTACCATCCCAGCATGAGAAACTGAGGGAGGAGGATCACCAATTCAAGACCAGCCTGGGTACATAGTGAGACCCTTTCTGAAAAATAAAATAAAGCGGGGCTGGGATGATAGATCAGTTAGTAATGTTCTTCCTTTGCAAGTGTGGGGACCTGAGTTCAATCCCCTAGAATCCATGTAAAAAAAAATGCTGGGCACCAGATAGAGGGCTCAGTGGGTAACAGCACTTGCTGCACAAGCATGAGAATCTGAGTTCAGATCCCAACACCCTATCTCAGGCAATAAGGTGGAGAGTACCAGAGCAAGACACTTGCAGCTCTCATCTGGCCTCCACATGCACTAACAGGTGCACACACTTGAATAGACGTGTGTATATACATCATACATACACACATAAAATAAATAACTATAACAAATTTTTAAGACGAAATCTTACTATATAGCCCTGGCTGTCCTGGAACTCTGTGTAGGTCAAGGTCACCTCAAATTCATTGAGATCTGCCTGCCTCTACCTCCCAAGTGCTGGGATTAAAGGCATGAACCACCATCCCTGGTTCATTAAATATAATAAAGCAGTTTAAGAGATGGAATGATTGTGTGCACTTGTGATCCCAGTGCTTGGGAGGTGAAGACAAGTGGATCTGTGAGGCTCACTGGCCAGCCAGTCTTGCCTGTTTGGTGAGTATCAGGACAGTGGGAGATGTCTTTAAAAAAAAAATAAAATAAAAAGGTGGATGATACCTAAGGAATGATATCAAAGGTTGTTCTTTGGCTTCTAGGTGTACATGCACCCTCACACACACGTATCCATACATGTATATACACATGCACATACATACACCCATGCATACACACACACAATAACATGCACATACACTAACATAAAATAAAAAAGCCAAAGGGGCCCAGAATAGAAACTTGCCCCCTCACAGCTCCAAGATCAGAGCCTAAAGCCAAAGAATTAGTGAGGCTTGTTCTCTCTGGGGCTCTGAGGAGAGTGGCAGAGGCATCCTCTAGTCATGGGGCCGCAGTATTCTCTGGTCTGGGGAAACATCAGCATCCCTACCTGTCTATACAGCCTTTTCCCCACATGACTGTCTCAGCCCCCTCCTTTCTCCTATAAGAACACCAGCTGGGCGGTGGTGGTGCACGCCTTTAATCCCAGCACTCAGGAGGCAGAGCCAGGCTGATCTCTGTGAGTTTGAGGCCAGCCTGGTCTACAGAGCAAGTTCCAGGACAGGCTCCAAAGCTACACAGAGAAACCCTGTCTTGAAAAAAAAAATGCCAGATTTTAGTTTAGGGTCACTCCACCCTATATAATCTCATGCTGATGGTTTATGGACCCTATTTTTAAATATGAACAGATTCCAAGGCACCAGAGTTGGACTTTGAGGCATGTATTTGATACATGGTTCAACATACAACTAAACACAACTTCTCTAGACCTTTGCCTGGACTCTGGCCCCTGAGGACTCATGTGACAAGCCACTACCTGAGAGGACTACTCCAGATCCATTTCCAAAGCTGTGTCCTGCTTGCAGAGAAGAGGAAAGTCTTGGCTCAGAGTCCCACCTTGGCCTTGGTGGTTCACTGTGAAATAGGAGCATGTGCCCTCCTGCAAGTGGTCCAGTGGGTCCCATCCACTTTTGTCCTGCCTGCTTCTTTCACTGTCCCCAAGCCTGTGATGATCACAGAAACCAAGAGATGACTTTTTCCAAAACTTCATTAGGAGCCTGGTGAGGATGCCATCTCCCAATCATGTCCCACCTAACCATAGGTGTTACATGGAACTAAAGAACAGCCATAGCTGGTGAACATGGAATTGATTCTGCTGACCTCTCCAGCGCTGCTCAGATAAGTAGAGAGCAGTGGGGAGAGAGACAGTCCCCAGGTCCAGGCGGTGCCACCTTTCTACCTGTGTGCCTTAGTGAGCCACTTGACCTCTCTGTGTCTTAATTATCACTTCTTAAAATGAATGCCGTTTTGATAGATGGACTCAATGGGGTGGGAAGGAGAGGTTTAGGCAACTGTGTAGAACAGCAGATGCAGCAGCCCATAGGATTGTGGGTGTCACACCTGGGGCACAATTGGGTTAGTTCATGGAGAAACCTGGTCATATCTCAAGGCTCCCCAACCTTCCCAGCGCACACAATGATTGGTAGAGGACAAGTTCATAGTACAATCAGCAACTTATGATAGGAATTGAACTTACATCTGAGGACATTCAAGATGTGAGAAAGCATGCAGCAGACAGTGCGGGTAGCTTTGTAGTCCTCACTACACCCCCACTCCTACCCTAGGCATCCTGCTTAAGTTCAGCCTCCACAGTGGGAAGCTCAAATTACGTTTCTCTTCCACTGTAACACATGCAGAGGCAAGGGAGGATCCCTGTTACCCCAAAACGTGAAGGAACCCAGGTATGGTCCTCAGAAGAGAAAGAACTGATTATTCAAGGGTCCCTGTCAAGAATTCTAAAATTGCAGACTCTTAAAAGACAATAAATGGAAACTAGAAAGACAAATGAAGGTCTTGTGGGGTACAGAATGATTTTGGTGAGACTGATACTGGAGGAAGGAAATTTGGCATGCCAGTGGGGAGACAGCCTTCTGCCATACTTTCTCAAAGGAATGCTAACTCACAAACCAGGTCTGCTCATGCTTGTTTTTCCCATTAAAATAAAAAAGTGCACTCTCTGCTGTCCACTTTGAATAGTGTAAGAGAGAAAGTGTCAGGCTGATGAGGAAAGGCCAAGAAGAGAGAAAGCTTCCAGAAGAGGCAGAGTGGATGGATGCTCAGGGACGATCTGGATGAACAGAGTGCAGAGTGGAAGTAGTGGGAAAAGGAGGCAAGAGTGTGCAGGTAGGATGTCATGAACCACCAGGGATGAACTCAGACAGACTAGATGCAAGATTGGACAGAGCCTCTTCCCAAGGAGAACCTGTCTGTTTCAGCACCGTGGCCAGCTCTTCGTGGGGGCCAACCCTGGAGTGTGACTCTCTACCTCAGGCTGTCCCATGGAATCACAAAAGACTGTGTGAGAGACCTCTCAGGCTCTCTTCACAGTGAGGAAAATGACTTCCAGGCTCAGCTCTAGACTCATTTCTAGAGTGCTGTAGTTCCAGGGGACTGTGGCCTGCACCTGAGCTGGGTAGGGTCTCACAGGCATTGAGCTCATGCATTTCCAGCTTTGGCCTCATAAGTGCAGCCTCCTTCTAGTCATACTCACAACCACTGGACATCTTCCTGTCGCCTCTGCAGTAGCCTCCAATGCTTTCACCAGTCAGGCCCCTTCTAGCTGTGGTGCCCTGAGACACCTCCCACTACAGCTCCTGCTTAGCTGGTACCTTTTGAAATATTTGTGTGCACCAAATCATTCAGGGTCCCAGCAAGACAGAGACAGTTCCCCCAGACCAAGCTGTTGCAGGTGGTGGTGTTGGGGGTGGGTATACACAATATAGGTGTTACGTTGGGGCCCACAGGGGACAATGCACTCTCCTGAGATTCATGGCAGCATCTCGGGTCCTGGAATAATACACAAAGACTGAGTTGTCAGCACCAGGGGAAGGAGGCAGCTTTTCAGGGAAGTGACTAGCTGTGGGGCCTTATTTTCCTTCTTTCTGATGTGCTGGGTTATCCACTAGCCCATCTAGTAAAAAATCAGCTTGTCTACACAGCCAGTCTTGCAAGCCAGGAACAGAGGCTAGATGTGGAGGGAGCATCTGTATCATGGAACTCTCCTGGAACAGAACAGGACATTGTATGATGACGTGGAGAATACAGGCCTGACCATCTAGGTTCAGAGGACAGAGGGCATGACCTTGCCCCCTCCAAGCTACCTTTCAGGTTTCGTGTTGCATAGGGAAGCCCAGCTCTGCTTTTGCATGTCCAGCCCTCTAAGCCGTGAAATGGGAAATGGCTAGCACCCTTCAGAGTGGCATGGTCACTTCCTCACCCAGGTGTTTTCCACTGAGTGTGTCAAGGGACAACTGAGATATCAGAATGTAGGCATGTGGGAAGCCATGCAGGTAGTGGCACAGTTCCATTTTTCAGGGGAGGAAATCAAGGCTCAGAAGAGGCAAGGCCTCCATCAGATACACATGGGGCTATCCACACCATCCCTATGCTACTGTTGTAATGAGATGGCTTGGCATGTCTGACCTCTTGGTGTCTTTCAGCTCCTGGGTTTCGTCTATGGCTGCTACGTGGTCAGTGTGCTTACAGAAGAAGAGGACAGCTGTAAGTGTACAGCTAATGATAGTGACAACTCTGAGTGCTGTACTATCTGGGGTAGGACCTGAAGGTGGCTCTTGGTGATGACCCATGCCCATTGGGTCTTCACTTCCTGTCACAAGCCTGACCATGCAGGTGATAGTCCAAAGATCTGAGAAAAGGAGGAATCTCTGAAGAGGGGCTCAGGAGCCCTCAGGTCCAAGAACATCTATCCTCATGACCCCACAGTGGCCCAAGGAGGGTCTGAGTCCTCAGTAGTATGGGCCACTCTACCTGCCTGACACACATGTTGACTGACATTTACTACTAGATAGGATCCGTTTGGACAGATTATCCTTTTCTCGCTTCATGTAGACCCCTTTCAATTTAATTTTGATTTGCAATGTAACACAGTAATGGTTTAAGCTATCCCTTTGGGGACTCCCAGCTCTGACATAGTCTTATAGGAAGTCCCTGCAGAGAAGGGATTGACAGGGTGGGCAGTCAGGGCTCCTGTGGATAGAACCTTCCCCAGAGTCAGAACTGGAATTCAAAACCATCTGTCACTGAGAGTCAGGTCATGGAATCAGCTGTCCCCATGTTCCAGAGACTTGGGTTTGATTCTGGAGGCTGGTGAGGGATAGTCTCTGAGCCTGGGATCAAGCCCCTGGTGCTGCCTGATCACTGAAACGGCAGTTGGCTGCTGGGGATGAAGCAGGAGCTCCACCTGCTCTTTGAATTCAGAACTGCAGCCAGCCTTGAGCTTCAGGAATATGTCCATTTTGCCCAACAAGCCTAGCATCCATTAGTGTGTGGGTGGCTTCACGGGATAGGTGCTTGATGGTAGTGAAGGCAGAGGACAGTGAAGGCAGGGTGGGGTGCAGCCCCATCCAGGCTGGAGGGCCTCCCCATCTGACCCACTTCTGGGAAGGTCCATTCAGACCACAGAGCCAGGAAACAGGGCACAGTGCCTCAGAGAGATCCCAGCAAGATTTGTGATACAACAGGGGACTGATTTGGGGATGTGCCTGTACCCCTTCACAAGCCTTGGCAATACCCCTCTTGCTGGGACTCTGCCACTGGGAATGTTTCCATTCTGCTGTCTTTTCCATCATTTGGGTTTTATTTTATTTGGGCTTGATTTCTTTCAGTTGATTTCATTGGTGGATTTGACCCATTCCCCCTGTACCATGTCAATGAAAAGCCGTCCAGCTTCTTGTCCAAGCAGGCGTATTTGTAAGTATGGCCCACTCAGCCTGCATTAGGGTGCTCACAACACAAGGTTCTTCTCCTTGGAGATTTTATCAGGCATCTGTATGTCAATCTGTCTATTCATCTATCACCCCCTAAGATCATGCTCTGGTTTGGCATCAGGGTGCAGTGGCTGTAGAACTCAGCCCCACATGTTGAGCTCAAAGCTCAGCAGGGGTATATTCTTTGATAATCAGGACCAATTCAGCACTGAAGTATGGAGTCTCAGGAATGGGAGGGATACCAACAAGCCACTCTCCAGGGGCTTCAGTGTTTCAGTAAGTGAAGAGGGTGTGGATGTCTGTTTCTTATATTAGGCAGATCACATTCTTTCTCTAAAGCAGTGCCACAGCCCTGCAGATGCCATGGCTGTGCCTGGGCTTCTTGGAAGTCCTGGAATTGAGATCAGAAGGGCATTGGGGGGTTCTCTTGGTGAAGCTGCCTTCAGCAGACCTGGTCCCAAAGATTCCTAATGCCTGACCTCAGAGTGTCCTAGACTCTTGTGGATAATGGGTATCAGAAGTAGCAGAGCTTCAGCTCCTAGGACGAATGAAGAAGGAAGTATAGACCTAGGAAGGGGAGGAGCCTCTGCAGGCTGCCATTGCAGCTTCTAAGACAAGCCTGGGCTCAATAGATCTCCATCAATAGGGGTAGCCCTTGGGAGATTTCTCTTCAGTTTGAGAGGATGAAAGGACCCAGGGTGAGATCCTCACTCCACTTCCAGCCCCATAGGAACTGGCCAGGGTCATCAGAGGATAAGATCAGTACCTGCTCTGGGCGTGGAGAAGCCTAGTCCCTGGCGTATTTTTGCTATAGCCTGAGCAACTATCCCCTCCTTGGTTTTGTGTCTTTTGCATTTGAAATTCCCCAGGGGAAGGGATACTGTCCTCCTTCTCTTAGGGTTCTCTGATCTCTGCCTTCTCCACAGGCCTGCATAAGTGAGGGAACAGCTGACCCTGCTCCTGCAACCCAGCTTCAGCCATGGGAACAATGAGGAGACTCCAGGCCTGGAGTCACAGCTCTGCTTCCCTGCCTGCAGAGCATTTTTTCCAAATTCCCCTTGGATACCAGTGAGGGGAGGGGGCACTGCAGGCCGGGGGGAGGGACACTGCAGGGGGGGAGGGGCACTGCAGGCCGGGGTGACTGCACTGTGAGTTTGTAATTTTTCTTTCTTTTTTTCTAAAAAAAAAAAAATAGTAAGAAAAGACACAAGAGAATATAGAAACCAACAAAGTGCATCCCTGGTCTCCTTGGGCAGCTAACAGTAAGCCTAGGCAGTTTTCCCAGGAGTCCCCTGAGTGCTCTGTCCTGGGGTTACAGGGCCTGAAGAACACGTAATGCTGCCAAGGGAAGGGCTCATCAGAGGACAACAAGAAGGTTCAGTCCCAGCCCGGGTGGCAGTGGTGCATGCCTTTAATCCCAGCACTTGGGAAGCAGAGGCAAACGGATCTCTGTGAGTTCGAAGCCAGCCTGGTCTACAGAGTGAGTTCTACAGAGTGAGTTCCAGGACAGGCTACAAAGCTATACAGAGAAACTCTGTCTCAAAAAAGAAAAAGAAAAAGAAAGAAAAGAAAAGACGCTTCAGTCCCATCACAAAGTCCCTCTGAGCCACCAAGACCAAGAGTGACAAAGGCCTTGAATAAATACTGTAGTACCCTAGCTGCAGGTCTTATTCAAACAAAGGCCCTCACCCCACTGAGGCCAGTGGAATGAATCCCTGGAACAGGACCAGGAGCCCTGCCACTCCCAAGCTAGGAGAGACCCATGAGTGAAACATGGAGCCTGGGGATACTACATAGATTCTTCTTTGTAGAAAGTGAATGGTATCATTCAGAAAGAAGGACCTTGGGCAAGTAGCCTGAGAACACCTGCCATATTGGAAAATACACAAAGTTGGTGGGTAATTAGAAGTGGGGATCTGAAGTCAGTCTATTCTGAAAGTGTAGAATACAGTGTAAGATCACTGAAATCAGAAAGAGTGTTTTGTTTTGTTTTTTCCAAAGCGGGGTAGAGTTTGTGAAGTATTTAGAAGTAGCTGGACCCCTGACAGGTGCTGCTCTGCTGGTGAAGAGCAGCAGAGACCAGCTCAACATGAACTAGGAGACATGGCAGTGGGTATATGAGATAGAGCCTAGCTGAGCTCTAAGGTGAGATCTTCTATTTTATTGGCTTCAAATAGATCCCAAAAGCTACAACAGAACCACTCCACACATCAACCAGAAACTCTTGCTCCATGCTGTACTACGTTTGTGGTGGTACTGAGTGTCCCCAGCAGACGCACTGTATGGTCTGGGACAGGTGGAGGCAGGCAGGGTACCCATCCTGCAGTGTAGTACCTGGAGGAAGAAAAGGAAGCATATATGAGTTCTGTTCTTAGCAGGTTTATCTGAGCCAGAGGCCTCAGGAACTTCGTTGACCTACCACTTTGTTCTACCAGAGAATTATCAGACACATCTTGGGGACACACTGACCTCTGAGAGTATATGAAGGCCATGCATGGTTCCTGTCTCTCAGCAAGGACGGGGTGTGACACATTTATGTAACAATTGATGTCCATGTGCCCTTTCCCCCACCCCCTAACCCCCACCCCTGCATGACCACCAAGCTTCAATTTAGTCCATGTGCCTCTGAAGCTGGCCTCTCCAAGCCTAGCTTAAGCCCTTGATGACCAACTGGACAAGAGGTGACCCCCAGCCCTCTTTCCCTCTGACTCCACCTAGGAAGGATTCAAAACAGTGGTGCCAGGCAGTGGTGGCGCAAGCCTTTAATCCCAGCACTCGGGAGGCAGAGCCAGGTGGATCTCCGTGAGGTCGAGGCCAGCCTGGTCTACAGAGCGAGATCCAGGACAGGCACCAAAACTACACAGAGAAACCCTGTCTTGAAAAACAAAAAACAAAACAAAACAACAACAACAAAAACAGTGGGATTGACTGGTGGAAGGAGTGAGTGGTGTGACCTGGCCATCTCTACAATGCCACTTCTAGCCTTAGGAAGCAAGACACTCAGGTTACACCCAGGCTGTAGGAAGAATGCTGGGAATACTCTGGACCTTACCTGGTTTAGGACAGGAAGGTGCGCACGCAGCTACAGATAGGCACCCTGCAGATAGGGCACACCTGCAGGTTGGGGGCACACTCAGTACAGACTAAGTGGCCACAGGGCACGAAGACTACAGATACAGCCCGATCCAGGCACACCTTGCATGTTCTCTCCTCCTGCAGCTGTCGCAGCTGTTCCTGCACATCTCCAGCTCCTGGGGACTCAAGAATTCACCAGCACTCTCAGGGCCTAGGATACTGACTCCTCACGGGGAATGAGCTTGTTACACGACCCGCCCTCTTACCCCCCATGTTCCCTCTGCACCCCCTCCATGAAAGAGGGTGGCCCATCCACCTCAGGTGGATCCCAACTATACCTGGCTCACTGGCATCTTCAGGCTGCGTCTGTCTTCTGGATGTGAGTGACTCAGGGCCTCCATGGGCAGGAGCTGTAGAAAGTAAGAATGGATTCAAGGCCTAGCTTCTGTGGAGAAGGGAGGCCAAGCCCAAAGAAGGTCTAGCAGCCACCAAGGACCAGTTCTGTCCTAGAGAACAGAAGGATTTGTATGGCACTCAGCTGTTCATGAGCTCAAGACCAGAAGCTTCCTGGAGGCCACCAAAGAGCCTGCCTTCCACCAGGGTACTCTGCCTACCCAGCCCGTCAGACTAGGTAGTAATAGATTGTATATATTGGGCATTTTGGGAGGGACAGGAAACAAAGGGTGATGGATGCCCAGAGGAGTAAGACAAGGAAAGGCAGGCAGTGCCTAGAATGGGTGAAGGTACCTCTGGCCCTTGCCATCTGGCCCTCATTCTCCTGGAGCAAGTCAGCCATCAGTTGTGAAGCCGGTGTGCTGGGAACACCTGGGCTCTGGCTCTGGTTGCCCCTGGTATCTTTAAGGCAGAGGGAGAGAGAGCGATCTTGTAGAGAAAGGCTGGTGGTCTGTGGCATGCTCTATCTATACACACATGGATCTGTGTGTTCCCAGAAGTCACTGGGAAAGGTCCAGCCCTCTTACACTAAGGATGCTGCATTTTCAGAGGCTCTATCTAGAGGTGCTACCATGACTGGGGAGGACAGTAAACAAAGCCCTGCCAAGCACCAGAGTGTCCCACAGACTCATGTGTTTTTAAAACGGGTTAGTATTGTCATGTCACAGCTCACAGCAGGGAAGCTCAGGAAAAAGTTGGCAAACAGATCAGGTGGTCCCTGAAGAACCTCAGACCCCTGTCCCATAGGGCCCAGGGAAGAGATTTGGAAAACTGTGTCCTCCATAGCTCTGTTCAACAGGCTTCTGGTTACAGCCCAGCTGGCTTTCAGAAGCTGTGGCTAGTGCCCAGCAGAACCATCCCAACATGCAGCTACATTTCCAGGTTTGGCTGCTGTCTTTAGCAGCTTACTCAGTGGGAACAAGGGAATGCAGTGGCCTGACCTGTGCCTTGGACATCAACATGTGTGCACAGTCCCTCCCTGCTGACTGGCAGGTGGGTACACTTAGCAGTCTTACCTACATACAGGCTGCAAATGCCAATGCAACAGCAAGGGTTCTGCATCAGGCCATCTCACCTGAGGGGGTGGCAGGGACTGTATCTTCTGGTTCTTCCCATTGGTCCTGTTGGAAAGCCATCAATGCCATAAGTAAACAGAGTAGAGACTGCCAACCCACCTGAGTCCTGAGGACAGATGGACTTACCCAGGAGCTAAGCAAGGGGGTGCAGGCCTGGATTCTTTCCACAAAGTCCCTTCCTTTTGACTGTAGCAGGAACCGACACCTGGAGAAGAGATCTCAGAAGGCAGGACTGGACTCTTAGTGCTTCACTGTTACATTCATGTACTATGAACCATGCCTTCTGTTCCCATGGAACCCATTATGCCCTATGGGAGGTAGTCAGGGATGTATCCCCCCGCCAGGGGACCTGCTGGGAAAGCTATTCAGGAGATGGCCTCTGAGCACCTAGAAGAGGATAGCAAAGGAGAATGCCCACCATAGCTGCCCTTCCAGAGAGAGCTTCATGAAGAGTAGGGTTGTCTGCTACCTTAGAGAGATCCTGATGTTCCAGGACTGTGGGAGATGAGGAGGCTGGACAGAGTTCTTTAGGGCCCTTTTCATTAATTGGACCTACAGCAATCCACATGGCCCTTACCTGGGGAACCATCGGGCATGCTCTGTCCAGGGGTCATCCCCATGTTCCCAGCTCTGCAGACCCCCATAGCAGAAGAAACATCTCACCTTGTCCTGCTGGCCTGGGTATGACAGAGACACATGACTGGTAACACCTAGCTGGCAACCCCAGGGTGTCCTTCCATGACCTGATATCAGAGCTTGGACAGACAGGGCTGGGGTCTGTCAGCAGGTTAACAAGAAGGGAGCAAGGCACATGGGCATCTCTCTTGTCTCAAAGGCAAATAAAGACAATGCCTAGGGCATGTGTCAGGAGGGCCCGAGAACATTCTGGAAAGGCTGAGCTAGCATTTATGTTGTTCTCAGAGCATGTGGGTAGGGTAGGGCCAAAGGCTTGGAGCATCTGTAGCCGGGGAGATTCAGGGCATCCGAGAAAGATTCCTGTTGACAGAATACGGAGGTGACCCCTCCCATACTGGTTCATAGCCAGCCTTGGTGTTAGTGGCTCAGGCCTTCCTCCTCTCTGCTCTCTGCCCATCCCCCAACCATGGGAAGATGTGTCCTTCATGACCTTGTGCAGAAGTTATAAACAGGACTGCTTACAGGCATATCCCACAGCAGACACCCCAGTCCACAAAATTCCCCTAACATCTGTTGGCCTCGGGGACACTTCTTTTCAAGGAGATTCTAACTGTCCCAGCCATTAACCCTTTATAACCAGTGTCCAATTGTCCTAAATTGATTTTGACTCTTGACTGGTCAGTGCAAGAAAAATGGCTAATTCTTCCCCTGATGGTCCCACTGGTGACAGTTTCTCTGGCTATGCTCATACTTACAGAGCCCTTCAGTGGGTCTCGCTGCCTCTTTTTCCTCAGCCAGGAAGAGAAAGAGCCAGAATTTGACCCCTACCACGAGTGAGGAGCAGTCCACGCTAAAGGAGTGAACTATTTGTAACTAGAACAGGTACTCAAAGGATTGGTCTCTGCACTGGCCTGGAGGATTACCTACAAGATGGCCACAAATCAGAATGCTTAAGCTGACCACTGCATCCATAGGATACATTGTTTTTGTCCCTCTAGGTCCTGGAATGAAAGAGACTAATCACCTCTGTAACCAAGCCTGCAAGCCTCCCATCTGGCAGTGGGGATCCATGAGTAGTGTGGGGGACCCGCAGAGCTATCTAATTCAGGTGAAACCCCCACCTGCTGAGGGGTCCTCAGGACAAGGCCAGCACAAGCCCAGGATCTCATAGTGATTTTGACTGGGGTAGACCCCAAGTCCTGGCCAGGCAGGAATAACAGGACTACCTTTCATCAGCTCCTCCCTCAGGGCAGGAATGCACAGAACTCTTGGCCTGGAAGAGTGCTAAATAGCATCCAGACTGCAGCAGAAAGACCCCAAGATTTACCTGTATGGAAGAAGCCAGCAGCAGCCAATGGCTCAGGCTGAATCCCAGCAGTGGATGGCCAGTCATAGAAGGAAGCCAGACGGAGATCCTCTGAATCCATCTCAGGGAAGGCAGGCTCCCCAAGAAAGGTAGCCCCAGAAGAGTCTTCCTCTTCTGACAGGGTGCGCAACTGGCCCAAGATCTGCCCATCTAGGCAGTCCTGGACCAGGACATGGCTACGTGCACGGTGGGGTCCACACTGCTCCTGTGTGGGGCCGTTGCTAGCTTCCCTGTGACTTAGCTCTGGGCCACAGAACAAGTCCCTGGCCCTACCCTCAGGCCCCATGGAGAGAACCGCAGCTCTGAGCAAGTCTGCAGGAGAAAACATCACCCCTGGAACGTGCCAGTGACTTACTCTAGCCCTTTCTAGAAACTGTAGTGACTCCTGCTTCTAACTACAGGCAGATGCCACTAGATGCTCAAATGCTGTAGTGTCCAGGGATGTGCCACTTTCTAAAAGAGGCCAGAGTGGCAGCCACATGCTCTCTGCAGCGAGTGTGTCACGGGGCCTCCTGGCAGGCGCATAACAAAGGCAGTACTCCACAGTGCAGAAAGCATCTCTAAATGGGGGGAGGGAGAGACAGCTTGGGGATCCCTCCAACAGCATCCCCTAAGTCTCTGGAAATAAGTCATAGACACTGACAAAAAACATAGAGCAGGGGGACTCCAGCCATTCAGGGTCCAGTTCTGGGTAGAGATAGATCCAGACAGGGCCTGCAAGGTAGAGAGCTCGATTGTCCAGGACAGTATGCAGCCTCAACCACATTCTTTCCATACCGAGCTCGTCCTGATGTTCAAGGATGACATCACCTGCTTATCCTGTCCCTAGCACTTAGGAGATCCCTGCTTGGCTCGGCCCGGCCCGGACTATCCTATCTGGTCTCAGACTGCCCTCTTTCTGTCTGGATGGTCTAGAGTCAAATCAAGGGTGGTATGCCCTGGGCCTTGGTCTGGGAGGAGCTCAAGGTTTAGATTGTGTTTACTCCAGGCCCGACATCTCTATCTGCACTGTCACGGGGAATATTGCCTCCCTAAATGAGCTCTGCCTCAGGACTGGTCCCAAGGACCTGGTCTCTACTAGCCAGCCCCAGGTGAGAGACTCCATTGCCACAGACCTAACAGAACAGGGAGGAGGGTCGTAGCCCCAGAGAGGCCACAGCTACAGATTAGTAAAACAAACGTCCTCAGGACTACTGGAAGGGGCAAAGAAAAGGATCAAGGGGCCAACTCTGCCCCAGCTGGCACTGTACCCAGATAACTGCACAAACCCTTCACCTACAAGCAGCTCTTCACTGCTGATGAAGCTTTTAACATGGTGAGTATATATATCCCAGCATTCAGGAGGCAGAGGTAGGCATATCTCTAAGTTTGAAGCCAGCCTCATCTACAGAGTGAGTTCCAGGACAGCCAGGGCTACACAGAGAAGCCCTGTTTCAAAAAAAAAAAAAAAAAAAAAAGGGCTGGAGAGATGGCTCAGAGGTTAAGATGACTGCTTGCTCTTCCAAAGGTCCTGAGTTCAATTCCCAGCAACCACATGGTGGCTCACAACCACCTGTAATGAGATCTGGCGCCCTCTTCTGGCCTGCAGGCATACATACAGGCAGAATACTGTTTACTAAATAAATAAATCTTTAAAAAAAAAAAGAAAAGAAAGAAAGAAAGAGAAAGAAACTTCAGACAGTTCATTTTGGTCATATTCACCCCTTTTTCTCCCCCTACCTCCTCCCAGATCCATCCCCATCTCTCCACTCCCAACTTCATTTCCTCTTTTTTTTTTCCTTTTTAATGTTTAACCCACCGAGTCCGATTTGTGCTGTCCATCACTGTGCTGTCCAATTGTGGTGTGGCATCATCCACTGGAACATGGTCAACCCACCAGGGGCCACCAACCTTAAAGAAAACTGACTCTCCCTCTCCCAGAAGCTATCAACTGTCAATAGTCCCTCAGTCAAGGGTTAGATATTGAGAGATACGGTGAGGGGTTGGGGCTTGTGAGGTAGGTATGGTGGCTCATGCATGCAATCCTAGCACTCATGGGGCTAAGGCAGGAGGATTGCTATGAATATAAGGCCAACCTGGACTACATAGTAAGTTTTATGCTAGCCTGAGTGAGACCCTGCTTCAAAAAAAATTAAAAAGTAAAGTTTGTAAGGAATAGAGAGAGCAGAACAGATTGGGCAGGAGGCCTACCTTCTCAGGTGTAGGGGGAGACCATACTAGAACTCTACTTCACAGAGCCTAAGGAGACACCGGGCTTGGAAAGGAGATCTGGGTCCCAAGCCTGCCTATGTGTCTTACCCTGCTCACTTTCCACAGGAGAGCCCTGTGGCACCAGAGCCCATAGGCAGCTTTTCCAGTGTTCCTTGGCTTTAGAATGCCTTGGGAGGACCATGCTTCACAGAACCCCCACTGCCCTTTGAGAAAGACACAGGGTTTTCACCATTTCAAAGATGTGGAAACTGAGGCAAAGAAAGGGAAAGCAGGTTCACTGAGAGCAGAGGCATGGGAGATCAGCCTAGGAGATGGTGGCCTAGCCTACTCCGTTCCATACCAGATCAAGCCCCAAAGGGCTGGAGTCCCTGAGGTATCCACCATCACCATCTCAGCAGATGTATCCCCACATGGCACAGCAGGGATTTAGGACCCTGTCTTATCCACTGCCAGGCCCACGTGCGGCCTATACTTCCATCTGTGGCAATAGAACCTTCTAGGGTATCCCCTGGGGACCTCACTACCCTTGCCTTTCTCTCTACTTGTAAGCAAAAGAGCAGAATCACAGCTTTGGTGTTTGAACCTGGAGCCCTGTCTTTCCAGGCCCCTTGCTGGACTAGGTTCTCCGGGATTGAGGCCAAAGGGGCTGATAAAGGAGAATAGGGGCGGCTTCACCAAGCTCTTTCTCTGTGCAGGTCCAGGCCCGGGTCCCTGCGGGTCTGAGTACTGGACTCTGGACCTGCTGCCTGGGCCTGAGGATCTGTGACAAAGGACAGTCTCTCCCAGCCAGGACCACAAGTATTTCCTGACAAAGACAGCTGAGCTATCTCTCTTTCCTGTTTGAGAGCCCCCCCCCCCCCCCCCCCCCCCCCCCCCCCCCCCCCCCCCCCGGCAGACAGGAACATCCTTTACCTGTAACCACAGAATGGGGAATCTCAGGGCTCTCAGCAGTGCATGAGGCCTATGAGAGAGGCCAGCAATAACATGGCGTGTGCTGGAGGGGATGGGAACAAAGCACCTGGGTAGCTGTGCCAGTTGCATCCATGCTGGGACTTCATAGAAACAGTACTAGTCTCTACAGTGCTTTGCCTGATGCCTCAGTCTCTACCATGAGCTCACACTGCAAGCTGAGTCCCTTTCTAATGCAGACAATACCTAGGTGGTGAGAAGGCCCTGTAGCTCATAGCATAGCCATGATGTGACTTTGGGTCAGCTAAGGCCCAGTATGAGAGTGTGGGGATTGTTTGTGCCATCCTCTGTGTGGTCAAAGCCTAGGGGGAGTCTTGGGGGTTCCTGGATGTGGTAGGGGAAGAGATAAGAGAAAGGGAAGGGAGACAGAGGAAGGCCAATGCCACTATCCCCCTCTACGGACCAAGGGAATTCTTTCTGTTTGGTTCTGTAGATCTTCTGCCCTACTCTGAGCTCTGCAGAGCAGACCCTAAACAGTCTGAAGCATGAGTGTCGGTGTCGAGCATCCTGCTGTTGACATTGGACTTGTTCCTGAAGGTCACTCCCCTGGGCACTCTGAGTGTATTTTTCAGAGCCCAGAGACTGTGGTATCCAGCCAAAGGAGAACACTTAGGCACCATGGGCCAGCTGAGATAGCAGCAGTCTTCTGTTCCCAAAGTCCAGGGGAACCCAAATGTCCCACAGGTCAACCCTTTAGACTATGTACTTCTGGGCCCAGACTCCAGCCAAGGGGGAATCCAGGGTAAAGTTAGATTTGGCTTCAGGAAGAGCTAGATCAGGGAGCTCCTGGGCCTCAGGAAGGGCTGCAGGGTAGGAAGTGGGAACTATAGCCTGCAAGGGACAAGTTTGACATCACTTCCTCCAATTTATTTTAATCAGAGTTGCTGGAGGACTGGTGGATAACCAGGTTCAATGGAACTGAGTGTCAGGCTCATCTGTGAGCCTACTACACATGCAGGCCCCCAACTTTTCCCAGGGACTTGGACTTTGAGTGCCCATGCTCTGGACCCTGTCTAAGTGTGGCCATTTGAATCTTGTTAAAATGAAATAAAATGGAAAATGCAGTCCTTACATTTCAAGTACTCAGTAGCCACACAAGGTCAGTAGTTACACTGTGGGACAGAGTAACCTAAAAGGTCACAGCACTCACCCACTGCCCATGGGAAGAACATCAGTCTCCCGAAGGTGGAAGGTGAGGGAGCCTGAGGTCATAACGCCTGATTCAGAGCACACCCTACTGGACATGAAGGGGGTGACAACACAGGGTCAGAGACCAGGTTCTGGAGAGTTGTGTAACTAGTCACCTATAGGTGGACTAAACTCTTGGGAAATGCAGTGAGATGGATGAGTCCCCAGTGTCATCTGACTGTAAGGCAACAACAAGAACAGGGTCCAAATGCCTGGAAGACAGCTAAGGGACTTCGGAAGGGTGGAGGGGAGGCTGTAGGGACAGGAGGCACACATGCAGCCAGTGTCTGGGAACTGCAAGAACGTGAGGGAGTATGGAAACCCAGAGACCAGTCAATAGGTGCTGGAGGAATGGGTTGGGTATCTAGGCAGACACCTTCCCCTGTGGAACTCTGGTTGCATTAGAATTGCTATCGTATATTGTCATCATTGTGACATAAGTGCAAAGCTTCAGCAAAAGTGAAATGCATTAGCTCACATGCAAAGCCCAGGGTGGACTGCCTCAGGCTTAGCTTGATCCATATGATCAGATAATGCCATCATTTGCATACCTTTCCCTCTCAGGGATATCATCACCTCTCGGTAAAGATGGCCATGATGGCTCCTTTGCTCACAACTCAGCAAAGTGAGGGAAAATGCATCTCATTTCCCCAAAGGCACAAGCTTAGGACTGAGAAGGACACCCTAAGTGATACTAGCATGCAATTACCAGACTGAAGGGTTGTTGGGCATCATGGGGGGTAAGTGGAGACATGTAGGAGAGTCTCCTTCAGTCTTCCCATTCCCTGGACAGGTCACACTCCTTCCCTGGGGAGGGGTGTTGGTTGCATGTCTGGTCAGGCCCTCATTCCAGGTTAACAGTTTCAGCAGTGCTCAACATTCCTCCAGCTGCCACGAGCATCTTCATATACTCCTTGCCCCAACTGGGCCCCAAGCCCCGCTCCCTCATTAGCCCTGCACACTCTCTTTCCTGCTTACCATGTTGACCCTTGCCAACTCCACCCGGCTCTGTGCATCCCTGATTTCTCACCACAGTCATTACTTGACTACTAGGATGCCAACTCTGCATAACTCCAACAGGGCCTTGGAATCCTGTGGTTGCCAGGACCTACATAGGCACCTTTCATATCAGATGATTCTTACCTAGAATGCTGTTGTGGACAGTCTTTGAAATTGTTTTGTAAGTGCTACCGGCTGAGATGATTAGGCTTGGGCAGGACTTGGTGATTCAGACCAGACCAGCCTCCATTTCCCTCAGAATCAGTTTTTGAAGCAGAAACCTCTGCCACCTCTTGTCCCAGCAGGAGCCTAAGTGTGGGCACAGTATACTCAAGGTCCGTGTACGGATGTTGCAGGGTAGCTTAGGTGACTAAAGGTCAGCACCATTTTACCTGAGGAAGCATGGCATTAAATATCAAGTCAATTGAAAAACAAACAAACAAAAATCAAATAAAAAAAAAAACCACCATGACAGGTCTAGAGGGAGCTGGTAAGGGCAAGAGGAGGAAGTCTTTCTTGTTTTTTGAACCAGAGTTCCTGGTTTTCTTCTTGCCCTGGCGGAGAGCCAGACTTGATTGCCACATGAGTTGAATGAATATGCCTCTTACAGCAGCCTGTGTTTCATGACTTAAGGTCAAGGCCTGAGGCTTACATGATCCTAGAGTACCACATACTTGCTTGTTCTTCCTCAGCGTTAAAGCTGATATCCTGGAGATGTTTGGATCCTAGGTCATCTGGTACTGTCCTGTGGAATAGACAAGAACAGCCATAGTATCAGAAGTCAGCTACAATTCCTGGAAACACAGAGGCAGCCAATAGGCCATGGCACCCTCCGTGGATGGTAGGTTTCTGGTCCAAGTTAGGCTGCGGGTCTTTAGGTACTGTGTAGATGGAAAAGAGACAAGGGTTGGACAGGGGCCAAGGTTCATGAGTCAGTTGAAGTTCAGATTGGCTGGCTGTGCCCTGGCATTTGCTCTAACTTCTTGAAGGCTTGCTTACTGGTTCAGGACCACAGAGCTGCTTGACTTTTGAGAGGTGGGCTACATGAAGCATCTGCCACATGCTAGCCCAAGCACCTGCATTCAGCCATGGATGCAAGAGTGGCCCCTGATATAGGGGGCTGACCTTGGGTAAGTAAGTGTCTATGTTCTGATTCCTGCTGCACCAAGAGCACCCTGGGGTTAGCACCCATTCACCTAGATTCTAGTTAAGGGATTCTAGAGACCAATCCAGAGACCTCCTCTCTTCTCATTCCTCCCTGTCCTGGCTGCCTGCCAAATCATGGGTCTGATTTATGGTGACTTGGTTAAACCACCCTTTTTGTATCATTTTCTGTTCCCATGCCTGTGAACTTCTGGTGGGTAGTCAGTGTACAGTGAGGCTGAGCAAGACTGTGTAAGCTTCCCTCCACAGGAAGCTACAAGGGTAGGGACCACTGGCACCCCAGTACTCTGTATATCCCAGGCATGAAGTGGGTAATCAACTAATGCCTTCAATAAATGACTAATGGACATTTAGAGAGAGGATGTCAGTTGTGAGTCATAGGAGCCTCTCAATGTTGCTGTTGAGTGGCAGAAGACAGAAGGAGCCCCAAGATCACAAGGTGGTTTTCCTGGAAGACAAACTGGACACTCCAGAAAGTATGGAAGGACAGGGTATTCAAAGGAGGTCTGCTACAGGGACGTTGTTCATTCCCAGAGGGCACTCATAGAGAAGGGGTGGGGGCTGCTGCATGAGCAGCTGTGGCTGTCTGCATGGACAAGTGTTTTCACTGCTGGCCCTCCTAGGGCAATTTTTGGGTGAGCTAAACCCAGCACACAGCAAAGGCTTGTTCCAGCCAGTTGTCATTTGAATACAGGGCTTCACAGATTTGTTTTATTTTATATGTGTGTGTGTGCCTGCTTGTCTGTATGTGCACCAAGTGCATCATGGCACATCCAATGCCAGAAAGAGAGTTTTGCAATCCCTGGGACAGGAGTTACAGGCAATTGTGAGCCACCATGTGGGTGTTGGAAACCAATCCCGGGTCCTTTGTAAGAACAGTACGTAGTCTTAACCACTGAGCCATTGCTCCAGCCCTCGAATAAACCTTTTTAATGAAAGTGATATCTGCTGTGGAGTAACAGGGAGGACTGTGTGTGTGTGTGTGTGTGTGTGTGTGTGTGTGTGTGTTGGGGCGCGCGCACGGGGAGGGGAGGGGGGGGGGGTAAACAGGTTCACTGACCAAGGAGCCTGCCTGAAAGTGAATGTCTAGTGGGGTGAGTTTTGTTGGGGACTCTTTGAGGAGTGAAAAATGAGCTGAGTTTTCTCCACGAATTTGGAACCCGAAGGGGGCTGTCTAGCCTTCCTCAAAGGCCTTGTCTTTTCCTCTTGGGTGATGGAATCGGGTTCAGAATCCAACGCGAACACTGGTCACATACTGGCACTCCCCTCTTAAGCCCAGATTGTCGCAGGGCAGCCGAAGAAGCCTGCACAACACAGACAAAACTCTAGCCCCACTGGAACAGGTGTAGCTTAGCCACAGCCACCCACCTCCTCCCCAATAGGCACCGCCCCAGGAGTCCCACGTGACTCCCCGACTCGCCCCACCCCTCTCCGTCCGGCCCCGCCCCTTCAGCGCGAGACTGAGTCCCAAGCGCGAAATTCTGGGCGAGGAGCGACGACGCGCAGGCGCAATGGTGGCGACT